AGAGCCAGGTTGGATGAGGCTTTGAGCAATCAGGTCTAGTGTAAGACATCCCTGCTCATGGCAGCGGGGTTGGAACTAGATGATCTTTAAGGTCCCTTCCAACCCAAACCATTCTATGATTCTATGAAATTCTGAGACTAATGTTGCTGAGAGAAGTCTTACTGTATAAACCTCAGAGAGTGTTTGTACAATTGAGCTCATCAAAGATGAGTTCTTAAGCATATTATTAAAGAATGGGAGTTGGGCCTTGCAAACTACCATTAGTACTTGAAACAAAATTCACTCTGAAGTTGTTAAAAAACATTGGTATACAAGAAAAACTGAGGTGCCTTTAAGAACTACAAAAACCAGGAAAGATTTTTGAACATAATCATTCTTTTCAAATACCTTCTAACGAGTATAAAAAATTAATGTTTTTCCTGGTCTTTACTTAGTGCTAACCCCTGGAGAGGAGTGAGTTCTTGACTAAAATTCTAATACAGGAAATTTTATATTCCCAAATTTTACTTATTTTCAGGGTCAATCCAAGAAGACCCAGGATATCAGAGAAACTATTATGAAACTGCAGAACAGATAATTCCACTGACTGTTTCCTTTGCACAAGCAACAGAAAGAACATAATCTAGAACTGGAAATAATAAGACAATCAGATCACCATTATTAAGTTATGACATTCAAAAATAAATTTCACCTACAAAAAAAGAAGTGAGCAGGGGAAGCATTTGAAGGACTTGGGACAGCACGAACAATATAAAATTTTTAACATAATAGAGGTTGAAGAAAGGTAAAACTACAGCTGTTTCAGTAATGTCTTTGCTCTTCTGCAGAAGAAAAGGATGGACAGAAAAAAGCTCAATTATCCTTATTATTTTTAAAGCAGTCTATTCTTGATGCCTGACTGTCTTGCTCATTCAAATACAACCTGTAATGTGCTGCACAGTGGGAAACTCAGGGTTCCATGGATTTTCCATGACTGAGTAATGAGGAATATTTTAAGAACCATTTGCACCTTTCTTCCATCTTCCAAAAAAAAGAAAAGAAAAGAAAAGAAAAGAAAAGAAAAGAAAAGGAAAAACTTACATCTCCCATTTAGATTGTGCGTGTCCATGAAAGAGAAAGCTTCGTCACAGTTGGTGCCTTGTTCAGTGTAGCTTTTATCCATTGAATTCACCATCACTGTCATTTCCTGCCGTGTACTACTCAATGTCTCTTTCCGCTTTTTAGCCAATTTTCTTAAGAAATTAATGTTGAGAAAAAAAAAAAGAAAAAAAAACAACACTCAGTAAGCTTACGTAGTCTTCATGTTGTTTAGATCAGTACTGTAGTTTGTAACCATATTATTAAGTAATATATAATATATATAAAATATATAAAAAACTTCTTTACGGTGAGGGTAACAGAGCACTGGAAGAGGCTGCCCAGGGAGGTTGTGGAGTCTCCTTCTCTGGAAACATTCAAGACCCACCTGGACACCTTCTTGTGTAATCTCATTTAGGTTCCTGCTCTGACAGGGGGATTGGACTAGATGATCTTTTGAGGTCCCTTCCAATCCCTAACATTCTGTGATTCTGTGATTCCGTGATATTTACACTTCTTCCTGCATTTCTGGAAACTTAAGTTGATTTTACACTCATGCCTTTCAATGGCATCTGATAATCAAAGGACAGCTGCCAATGCCCTGACTTATGGTGAATAGCACCTTAATCCTTAGGGACCACCACTGAATTAAAGGGGACTACTTGGATACAAAGGTGATGTGAGCTACTGTATCAGAGGCTACAACTGTTTAAATACATAAATAAAAATGTCAGGAGAGAAGATTTCACTGGAACTGACAAATCAGTAACAATTTTCACTTCGCAAGTGTAAAACTGTCTTGAGTTGTTTCATTGAGACACCATATAATACAGCTAACTAGTTTACATCATACTGCATAGTGTGTATGTTTGATCTTTTAACACACTTTGCACCAGCAAGTGCCATTTTAAAATGACTTGCATTTCTAAAGACTATTATTTCCTGTCAGTCTTGATTTCAGGAGAACTAGTCGCAAGAGTTGGTTGCTTCTCAGCAGGCGTAGTCTGTCAGAGATAAGATCTTGATTCTGATACTATTACAGTGATTCATTAAGCTATAGAACTGTTTTGGACGCATATACGTCTTTTTTCCAGATGTTTGTTTCTGTTTAAAATAAAATCTCATTCTGTCTCATGCTTAACTGACATCACAAAATAACGTGTCCTAAACAGTGGATTTTTCCTTCAAGCTCTGTGAGACATCTGTGATTCTGATGATGGTGGATCCCATCCCCATTTTGTTTGTTTCCCTAGCCTGCAACTATGTCTTAGACCAAGCCTTTCCCCAAGTCCTTGCCTAGAGCCTTTATTTAAATTTTTCAGATTCCTTCTGCATAGTATCTTCAAGGTGTGGGTTTTACACATAAATAACTCATCCACAGACTTTGATCTTCTTATATCTGTTTGTTCAATGACTCTTCCTCTGTGGAAAACATGAGCCAGCTCATATCCATCTGCCAGAACTTACAGGAGCTTATCTCATCCATGTTTCCTTCCACTTCTAGAGGCCTACGGCATCAAGCATAACCAATTTCTGCTAACTCTTAAAGCCTTTCTCTTTGTTAATTCTCATTCAGTATGAAAAAATTATTCCCACCACAGACAAAAAATTTTTACCAGCCTCTACCAGATTTTCAAACAAGCACATGTTTGTCTTTTCTCATGTTGCATGGACAAGCTTTCTGTAAACCTCACCAATGATAGCTCACTATTCTGCTTCAAATCACTGTCTGCAGACACACTTTATAAAGTACTGATATTACTGCTCACTATGCTGATCAGTATTGCCACAGAGTCTTCACATGTTCCCCATCTATTTGCCTGTTGTCTCTTACCTTACACCTAGATAACAAACCATCTGGGTAGGAGCTATTGTTGTGTTCTGTACCGATACAGAACCAAGTTCAGTGGTATCTTAGTCCATGACTAAAGCTCAGAAGGCCTTTGAAACTAAAGTCTGGCTGTTAGTAGTACGTGCTGGCATGGTATTGGGTCACTGCACACAAAAGTATTAAGGGTCACATTTAGCCCTCAATAAGCTGCTGGATTGCCATTCCAATTCATGAGGACATATCCCCATGACTGAAAGCGACTGAAGGACTCTGCCTCAAAAACCTGTTAGAGTACCTGCAGTAACGAGTAGTGTGTACCTCTTTGTTCAGCTCGGAAGTCACCTGTGTTAGCTTGAGCCACCATGAACACACTCTAGATTGTGACTGATGCTGAGAAAAGGACAGCGCTTATGGTCAGTTGGATGGCAGCCACTTGTGGGACTCTGTACTACACTAAGCATTTAATTGTGCCACAAAAACTCATCCATAAATGTTCATTATTAGGGATTTCAAAATTCATTAATGATAATATTACAGTCCAGTTAAGAAAGACTGTAAGATTAACAGTAACAAATCACATCCTTCATGTAGATGAAATTTAACTCCTGATTTTGTAATTTGGTATATCATTGGTGGACAGCAAAAATAACTCATAAACAAAGGTTTTGTTGCTAAATTTTTATTTAATTTAGGGAGATTAAATGGAGGAACTTAACAAGTCTCTTCTGATCAACACTGATTTACTTTGTAGACTTTATAACAAAACCGGTTCTTTACTACTTCACAGTGCATAAATGCAGAAGGGACCACTAGATAATCTAGTCTGAACTCCTTTATATCAGAGACAGTAAAATTTCATTCAAGTACCATAAGTAAAACAAAACTATTGTATCTTTGCATCCTTCATTCTCTCCTTTCTTCATATCTAATTTTAATGAATGAATAAAATATTATCTAAAGTAGAATCTGAGATGTATCTCCTAATGCACAAACAACCTAAGTCCTTTATAAGGCTTATCAAAGTCATAACATGAAATGGATATATTTTTTCCTCCTTCCACCCTTAGCTCAGATGGTAACACACCAAATCATGCATGGCTTCTCTTCTGATCCTCTTTAGCCTTAAGCTGAAGGTACATACAGCTACTCCCACCACCTGCCAATCACTGGGCAATTCCCAGCTTAGCTGGGTTGTGAAACCAGAATCTGAACAGTGACAATGACAGCATCCTCAGTGTAGTCACTGAAACTTCATCCATAAGACATGTATCATATTTATTTTATTTCACAGCTGTGCAGATCATAGGAAAGTACTTCAGGACAATTCAGCACTAAAGCACTGCTTCAGGAAGGTATGCAGAGGCAGCTTTTCTTCACAAGACTTCTGTCTCTTCAGGCCGGAATCAGCAGCTTCTCTTTAACCAGCTGTCAATCCAATCAGCTATCTAGACACTGCATATTCACTAAAGCCAGGAAACTGCAGTGTATAGTGGCCTTCCATTGCCCATCAGTGGACCTGTGAGCACTACTTCTATTCACAAAACCTTTACTCACTGTCAATCTCACAAGCTTGGCACTTTCTCCAAGAACTCTTGCATGTGATCAATGTACTGGTGAACAGGTAATAACTCTTCCTTAACATTTTTTTAAAGAAAAGTTACTAGGAGAACTGCCCTGGGCAACATTATAGTGATACTAACCCATATCTGAAAATCCACAGTGTGGTAAAATATATTATACCAGCCACTGAGTGGGATTACAAAAAACACCCATGCTTTGTAGGGTGCACATCTCGAGCATCTGCTGCAACAGAGAACATCCTTTATTTTACAATAAAAACTGTATCCTTCCCAAGGAAAGCCAGAGTTCTTGCTTATTACACCAACAATATGAAACTCAAATTTTATTAAAAAGCCACCTAATTTTCTAAAAGAAATGACACTAACATTTTTTCATTTCCCTCATTTTTGGTTTTGATCCCATAATCAAGCTATAGCAGATTGTTTTTATGACAGTAACAACTGTACACTACTTCTCAGTCTGAATCTAATTCTGGAAATAGGTCTTGTGGGAGAAGTTCAAATCTGAAACAACTGTTACAGGAAGAGAGTGATACCAGCCAGACTTTTGTACTGTGAACAAAAACACCCACTGGACTTAGTCAAGTGAACTTTAGCTGAATATAACATTTTTAAAATCTGCAGTTTTCAGATATTACTGAAAGTGTTGCAGTGCTGTACTCTCTTCAACTCTTCCGTTCCTTCAATCTCTTGATCCCTGGGAGGCTCTAGCTACACAAAATCTAAAAACTCATAAAACCATGGTACTTCAGATCACCATCACCACTCACGCTCTTTGATTTGAAGTAAATTTTTGGGGAAAAAAAGGACTTAAATATTTTATAGTCTTCACTCATGGAAAAGACACTTCATAGATACTCTCTCATGTTTCCTCCTTCTTTAAGGAAAAGAGATCTACAACCAAAGGAAAAATAAAACAGATGGAAGCTCCTATGATTATTACTTAGGATGAAATACTTTATGCAGGGAAAGCAAAAATTATCAGCTTATCACAGTAATATTGTTACCATCACTATATGAAAAAATAGAATACACTATACCAGTCTCAGAAAAGAGGTGTTTGATATTCAGAAAAATCTCAAGACTAGGTAGGAACTGTTATTTTAAAGCACAAGAAATTGTGAGAAGTAAGCTGGTGTAATGGTAAAAATATGGTAAAATGCAGAGCAGACAAACATAGAGACTCCCCCCCCAGAAACTGTGTATGGGATTTTGGGTTTACTGTGTATTTGGGTATATGAAAGTAAACCTTTCTCAAAATCCTCCTCTGTGATTTCTCCCTCAGTCTCTATTTGGTTCATTTTTCATCTACTTACCTGTATCCATCTTCTCTGTGCTGTCTTGACTTAAATAACAAGGTCTTTGAGACCTCACCTGCCTTTTCCCTTCTTTATAAAGCACTAGGCAAAAAGCTTGAGGCACGATGGGACACTAGCATAGTTAGAGGAATGTAACAACAGTAAAAATAAAAATGGTGACTGGAGCTGATAATTGGAATTTAGAGGAATGTAACAACAGTAAAAATAAAAATAAAAAAGGTGACTGGAGCTGATAATTGGAATCAACTTAGGCCCTGAAATAAATGCGCCTTTCATTTTAATTTATGAACAGTGAGAAAAGCATATTTATTTGAATCAAGCAAAAGCACACCCTTCTTCCCAATTCCAAACTGAGTAGTACTTCCATTTTTGTATCAGTACGTGTCTTTTCTTCCCAGTAAAGAAAGGAGAAACAAGATTCTGCT